CGGATGACGAGGAGGATACTGAAAACCCACATGAAGTGGTGAATGTCGTGTTGGAGCTTCTTTCTGCCATCATCTCGGAAACGCAACCGGCAGAACTCGACGAAGCGTGTCGTGTTGTGCTTGCCGATATCCGCAAAACCCTTTCTGAGAAGTATAACGATAATAAGGCCGGACAAAGCTTGGCCACCCGAATAGGACTCATTCTTGAGGAAGAAAAGGCACCAGACTCCGAGTTGGAGTTGGAGAAACGGGCATTTACACGCGCCATCACAAATCTCAACGACCCGCTTGTGCCCATTCGTGCACATGGCCTATACTTGTTGAGACAATTGGTTGAGCAGAAAAGCGCAGTGATCTCTGTAGACTTTGTTGTGAATCTCCACTTGGTCCAGCTCAAAGACACAGATCCATTCATCTACCTCAACGCCATCAAAGGCTTGGATGCGTTGCTTGCACTAGACGATTCCCTGGTGTTGCCTGTGCTCACGGCCATATACCGTGGAAACGAGAAAAGAACAAGCGTTGAAAGCGAGTCCGAGCCACTGGATTTGGATGAACGGTTGAGAGTCGGCGAGGTGTTGTTACGCTATATCCAGGCGCAAGACGAGGCGTTTTCAGGGAAAATGGCGCAGCTCGTATGTGAATCTGCACTAGCGCTTATCCGCAGGCCGGCCAGCGATACAGATATGGCCGATGATCGCCTTAGAATGTCGGCCATGTCTCTTTTGGGCACGTGCTGCAACACAAACATTTTGGGGATCTTGGAGAATGTCGGAAATGCAGTTGACTGTGCTATTGGGGTATTGCAATTGGAGACAGATAAAGATGCGGCGATCATGAGAAGAGCTGCGATTGTTTTGATTAACGATTTGGTGTGCGGCACGTCGAAATCGGATAAAGTGCCGTTTCCGAAATATCATATTGAAAAAGTCTTGACGGTGCTTCGATACATCGAGAGCCACGATTCGGATTTGCTAGTGAGAGAACAGGCCCTGTCCGTGCTCCAGTATATAGATGAGTTGGTCAAGGAAGCCTTGACGGTTGAATAAAGCTACAGGATCTTGGTTGTCTATCTGGAATACTTTTCACATTATATTCTCTGGCCTATATCGTTGTGCCAGGCATTAAAATACATAACTTCGTTTAGTCAACCTCCTCCATAGCGGACTCGACAGCTGGCTCCTCAGTGGCGTCAGCAGAGACCTCGGCCTCAACCTCCTCCTCTTCCTCGATGTTCAAGCCCAAAGAGATCAATCTGTTGATTCTGCCAGCGAAAGAAGATGGCTCCTCCAAGGTGAAACCAGAAGTGAGCAAGGCGGTCTCGTACAACAAGGTGGTCAAGTCCTTAACGGTCTTGTCCTCGGCGCCGTCAGCGTCAACCTTCTTTCTCAACTCCTTGATGATGGAAGACTTAGGAGAGATTTCGAAAGTCTTCTTGGAGGACATGTAAGAGGACATGGTGGTGTCTCTCAAGGCCTGGGCCTTCATGATTCTCTCCATGTTAGCGGACCAGCCGAATTGGCCAGTTCTGATGGCGGCAGGAGCGTCAACCAACTTGTGGGAGACAACAACCTTCTCGACCTGGTCACCCAAGATCTCCTTCAAGGCCTTGGTCAAAGGCTCGAACTCGGCAATCTCCTTTTCTCTCTCGGCCTTCTCCTCCTCGGTCTCCTCCAACTCGAAGTCCTTGGTGATGTCAACCAACTTCTTGTCCTCGAACTCCTTCAACTGGGTCATGGCGTACTCATCGATTGGCTCGACCAAGAACAAGACCTCGAACTTCTTAGCCTTCAAGGCGTCCAAGAAAGGAGAGTTCTCAACGGCCTTGATGGACTCACCGGTGATGTAGTAGATGTTCTTCTGGTGCTCTGGCATTCTGGTGACGTAGTCAGACAAAGAAGTGTACTCCTCAGTAGACTTGGTGGAGTAGTATCTCAACAACTTAGCCAAGGCATTTCTGTTCTGCTGGTCCTCGTGGATACCCAACTTGATGTTCTTGGAGAAAGCAGCGTAGAACTTCTCGAACTGCTCGGAGTCCTCGGCGATCTCGTTGAAGGTCTCGATCAACTTCTTGACGATGTTCTTTCTGATAACCTTCATGATCTTGTTCTGCTGCAACATCTCTCTGGACAAGTTCAATGGCAAGTCCTCAGAGTCCACAACACCCTTAACGAAAGACAACCATTCTGGGATCAACTCCTCGGCCTCGTCAGTGATGAAGACACGGCGGACGTACAACTTGATGTTGTTCTTCTTCTTCTTGGACTCGAAGGCGTCGAATGGGGCTCTCTTTGGCACAAACAAGATGGCCTTGAACTCCAACTGACCCTCGACAGAGAAGTGCTTGACGGCCAATGGGTCCTCCCAGTCGTTCGAGAAAGACTTGTAGAACGCGTTGTACTCCTCCTGGGTGACATCCTGAGGAGCTCTGGTCCACAAAGGCTTGGTCTTGTTCAACTCCTCGATCTCGGTGACATTCTCCTTCACCTTCTTAGTCTCCTCCTTCTTCTCGCCCTCCTCGTCGTCAACCTCCTCCAACTTCGCCTTCTTGTCGTCGTCGGCGGACTCGTCCTCCTTCTTTTCCTCGGCAGGCACCTCCTTCTCAACCTCCTTGGTGACCATCAACTCAATAGGGTAGGACACAAACTCAGAGTGTCTCTTGACAACCTCCTTGATTCTCTTCTCCTCCAAGTACTCCAACTGGTCCTCCTTCAAGAACAAACGGAGCACAGTACCACGGGAAATTCTCTCGTTGGTCTCGTCCAACGTGATGGTGAATTTGCCGCCGGCGTTCGACTCCCACACGTATTGCTCGTCGTCGTTGTGCTTAGAGATGACCTGAACGTGGTCAGCCACCAAGAAAAGCGAGTAGAAACCAACACCGAACTGGCCAATCATCGACACGTCCGCGCCTGCAGACAAGGCCTCCATAAACGCCTTAGTGCCCGATTTGGCGATCGTACCCAAGTTGTTGATCAAGTCGGCTTTCGTCATACCGATACCAGAATCTCTGATTTCCAAAATCTTGCCCTCTGGCTTTGGCGTGAGTCTGATGAACAATTTAGGCTCGCTCTCCAATTTGGAAGGGTCGGCCAAAGCCTCGTAACGGATCTTGTCCAAAGCATCCGAAGCGTTCGAAATCAATTCTCTCAAGAAGATTTCCTTGTTGGAGTACACCGTGTTGATGATCAAGGACATCAACTGAGAGATCTCAGCGGTAAATTCGTGTGTTTCAACCTTGTCAGCCATTTTTGTAGTGATATGTAGAAATTGCTGGAGTGCGTTTTCTGAAGCTGGCAAATCTGGCCCTATTATATACGCGTGGGGCCGCCCGCAGAAGCCGCGCTGAAGAGTCTGGAGAAGTTTCCACGAGCTTCTTTGGCCCGCGCACGACCCCGATTTGGGCGTTCCAAAATTCAAAATTGTTCGCAACGGCGTGCCATCGAACACGGTGGAAAAAAAGAGAAAGTGGCGAGGGTGGTTATACGTATGCGTGTGGAGAATAATTTGATAATTAGTGGCGGGTTAAATTAGAAAATTGAGACTCTTTAATTATTCGAAGGTTTTCGAATTTTTGATGTAAAAATCATCGCGTAGTTGATGTGACTTGGTGGGTTGCTACAGGCTTTGATGGGTGCAAAATGTACGGTGCCAGATCAGATCAGATCTCATAGAAGTCTCTGGACCCGCACTGCCCACCCAAGGGCCTAGATCTTGTATGGTCAAAAAAGAGCATAGAGGCGAGAGGATATTGGAAAAATATACTGATAAGCTGTACTTTTTTTTGGGAGGTTTCTGTTTTTTCGTAGTCTACGTACCTGTTCCTCAGCAAATATGCTTTTTTCTTCTTTTTCTTTTCGTGTATTGTGAATACCCAGGCTAACTGTTCCAGGGAGCCTTCTTGTTTACGTTCATACGACTAAACCTACTATATCCATAAGAATCCCCGATTGGTGATGAAACGGATTCACTTCCTTTCTCTTCGAAAATTAAGGCTGAAAGATTCTGCCAATTCATCTTTCACTCGCAGGTACACCCCTTGATATCCGTCGGGGTTTGCACCGATTAGTTCGACGCTAATCAAATCGTGCAAAAACAAATCATTGAGCCATATGAGTGGCTGGAATACGTTCTATACCGTCTTGAGACGTTGTTACTCCCAGAATTTCACTTTCATTCTAAGATGAACCTTACCCTGACTTCCATGCTCTACGGAGCCTACTGTGAAACCGGTCGAGATGTTGACAAATTAAAGAAAAGACTTTTTGGCTGGTTAGCGCAATGAGAAGTCACTTGTGGTTAATGGAATGGAAATTTCATTCCCGAAAGAATTCCGAATTTTGTTCAACAATACCATAGTGGAAACGACATGTCAGGATGAAAATGACGCACTTTGGGGTCCTATTTTGAATGGTGAAGAATCTATGTTTTTGTTCCAAAAAACCAAGTCCTGTGATATTACTCCGTGGTTTATTTCCTCCCGGCTCATGAATTCCCTGAAAAAAGACTATTATTGTGTGACAGTTACCATGCCATTTGCTCACTCTAGGCTTTCTGGTAAGAAACGTCGTAAACTCAGTCCGGGATTCATTTTCAGGAGAGAAAAATCTGACTCACGCCCTATTCGCGTTAGGAAATTGGTTCAAGATCTTAAGAATGAAGATATAATTGTTCGGGTATGTAATAGCATGAGAATTAACAAGAGGAAACATACCGCTTACTTTCGTCGGGATGGGGTGAAAAGAGAAAGAAAAGAAAAATTAGTTATTGTCCAATCTAGGTCCAGAAAGCGGGAACACACCCCAGATAAGAAGGATGCATACAGAAAGATGCGGCACGAAAAACAAAACCGGTTGAAATTGGCCAGGAGAAAAGCAAAGAAAAAGTGCAGGAAGCTGAGCTCGATGAAAGAAAAAGACAATGAAGCCCACAACTTGTATTTGTCTGGGAAGAGAAAGATTAACAGAACTGTTCACACACCCGATTAAAATAAAAAAAAACGACGTGGACAGGATTCGAACCTGCGAGAGCAGAGCTCATGAGGAGGTGCTGTTTAACCTGCACCTCACGCCTTAACCACTCGGCCACCACATCTCAAAGTCCCGATAACGGGTCAGATTTAGATCCACCATGCGAGATCCACGTGAGCCCGATCACGTGGTTTGCCCACTATATGCAGGTTATTTATCTGTAGATATGTAGATTTTTGACTGTTCAACTGCGGTTTCCTGTTTATAAATTTGTTCCTTTGGAATAAGAAAAAAAACAACTCTCAGCTGGCTACAGTCTTGAAAATTCATATTCCAGAAGAAAGAAGTTGAAATTTTTTACAGTGGCCTTCACTCATAATATCTGTGTACCCTTCACGTCACAGCTGCCGAAACTTCTCGAGAGGCAAATGTACATGACCCAATGCACTATGTGGATGATACGCGTTTGTTCGGCTTTATAAGGCCGGGATGATTTTCCTTTCAGACGGAGTGTTGGTTTTCCGAGTACGACTTTCATTATATTTTGAAAGTGGCATCATGAAAGCGCATGACGTGAGTCCGCGCAATGAACTCATGCAGAAACTATTCCAAGATGAATTTTCTTCATAAAGACGAGATCCGTTTCACGGTTATCAGTTTCGGTTTTTTCTATATTGTTGAATACGTGACGGCTGCGGTGAACTGAATGAACTTGTGTGATCAATGGTAAATATGGTGACATCCACAAATGTCACCCGCAACAAGGCGATAATAAGTTTATGACGTTCGTGAAAAGCAAAACTTCGGAGAATTTCACACCGATAAATCTCAATTGTTTTTATCTGTTCTCATTCACCAAATTCAAATTATACCTATACCGGCAAATGTATCTATTATTCACCGCATCCTCTGGGCCGTGGAAGAAAACGAGCTCAATATCTAACACATACCTTTCAAATTATTTTTCTTAATGTTTCCAGGCGTATCTTTCCAGTCAAGTCTAAGAACACCTCAAAAGACCGCTCCATTGACCCACTCTTTCCCCTTTGGAACAATTGATTTGAGGAAATTGCTGGAAATGCCCTGGTTCTCGAGCCCAAACGCCTTGCAGAAATCTCGACTATAATCCAACGCACAGCTCACTGGACTCTCACCCTTTTCGTAATCTTTCACCTCCCAATACTTCTTATCCTCTAAGGCTTTAAGCACGCCGCTCAAATGTACTTTTTCCACCGCAATCTCGTTGACCGATAGATCTAGACTCAAAATGTCGCGGTCAAAGTCCCAGAATTCTATGCCTCTAGGCAAAACAGCATTCACGCCCTCGCATACTTTGCCCTCTGGCTTCCAAAACAGTATTTTTGCGCCGATATCCACCGAAGTAGAAACTTGCACTATACTCCATTTCTTGCCCCTTCTCTCCACCACAACTATATTGGGCCGATAAAACCGCCGCCCGCACCCGCAATCTTGCAAATGCGCGGCTGCAAATCCAATAAAATATTCTCTATCGTCTGCCTCTATACGCTTCACACTCACAAAAGGCGTGCCTCCACGAAGCGGACTGAGTTTTTTTTCGTTTCCAGGATGTTCAACCACACACTCGCCATTTTCAGTCCACAACTCACACTTTATAATTTTGAGTGGTTCTAGCCGCGTGGCAAACATCACGTGCGTTTGATTATCACCATAGTTATTATAAAACGGCACCCAATTTTTCTCGACGGGCTTTTCTGGTTCGCCTTCTATTTTCAACTGCTTTGTACGAGTGAAAACGTGCTTGTTCGCTGACTCATCTTCAAATCTTCCAATGTTTTTCCCGATTTGTACCTGGAAGGGGTAACTCATGAAAACCGAGCGGATCCCTGTACTGTGGTCTTGTTCAATTTCGCCATTTAGATGGAAGGAGCTAAACACAAGCACAGGCTCGTCACGCCCAAAATCGTTCTGGAAAAGGGTCATCTGTAAGTCCTCGGTGCCCCAATTTTTCCCGTCCTCTTCAATCGCAAACGGGATCGGGAGAATCCGGGGAAACCGATGCAGAATGTACGTCTTGTTGTTGACCTCGAACCCGGGCGTGCCCGTGACATTGTTACTAGGGAAAACCACCCGCACATCTTCAACTTCATCCCATTTCTCGTCGAAAATCTGTGCTAACGGCAAACTGAATTTTGGCTTAGTGCGGTCGCCGTCTTCTGCAAACACTAATTGTGAAACAACTAGATGTACACTGTAATCTTTGAGCCATACAGAAGTGCCTGAGAAACGGTACCACGAGTTTTCTAGGGCGTCTGCAGACAAGTACTTATCAATGTGTGGCCGAAGAAACTGGTTATACGAGTCGTCGTATTGTTCTGCTTCCTCGTTGAAAATCTGAAACGTGGTGTTTAGGTTGACTGGCAATTTTTCTGGTGTATCTGCGGCAAACACGATTTTCAGTTCTTCCAATGCACACTTGGAGTCTTCAAACCGACTAAAAAGGAACGGCTCAGTGCTTTTGAAACGTCCTGGCTCATGTGGTGGGTGCTCCATCACCAGTGTTTTTTTGAGCTGGAGAATCTGCCATTCCTCACTCTCAGTGTCGCTCAAATGTTCTCGGAGAGCGTATCTCGGAAAATGAATTCCGGCCGGAAGGAGCACGTTTCGAGCCTTCAGCCGTATTCCCGGTGTTTTCTGCTTAAGTGGCGGATTTACCCAATTTGTCTCTGCCGGCAAAGGTTCGTCATGAAAGAATATCAAGGTTGAAAATGCCGCACATGCGAACAAACTGATAATGACAGAAAGCCTGCGTTTGCTTAGCAAGGGTCTGTGAAGCATTCCGGGGAACAATGGGATTACAGAAAGTGCTTTTAAATCTATCAAGAATCGTATCTGAGTCAAAAACTTCATTTTATTTGAAGCTCGGTGGGGGCTTGGCTCAATCTTATATGTGTCACCTCACACACGAGAATTAGATGTGTCACGCCTCACACACTTGATGATATTAGCCGCTTTTACTTACACTGTTCGAGTGTATGGGCAAATTTACCTCAGAAAAGCTTAACTGAATAAGGGCTTATCTTTTGCTCTACTCACAATTGCGGTAACATATTATTTTTGCTGGTTATTGTGAGGACTCTGGGCTGCGAAAATTGTGGGGCCCGATCTCAAACTCTAATTTCGCGACATGTTGGGTATTTGAGCCGGGCTGAAACCCCCTGATAATACTAATAATCGCTTTTCAAAGGATTGTTTTCTTGAGATACATTTTAGCGGAAATTAAGCCCCAGGCGAACTTCATACATGACTTCTGGACAAGCTGACCCCAGCCCCAGCCATAAAGGGCACTGGCGAGAACATCACCTGGCACAGAGTCTCATGTTTTTTGCGGTAGCAAAAAGCACAATTTGAATCGTCAAGAGTATCGTTTTTGTCTTTTCTGCGGTTTGGTTATCATTCGTTTCGAGTTATTTCTCTCTTCAACCATGGAAGCTACTTAGGAACACAGTGTCTTTCAGCATTAACCTTATTTAATACAGAACCTAGCTTGTTCGAGCCCCTCCCATATAATATATCGGCACTTCTGGGAACCTAATGGGGAGTGAAAGAACATGAAGATTATTTTTGGCTTTTTCTAGTTGCACTTGAAGATTCTTGCGCACCTCAATTGACACATTTGTCACCTGTTCATACAATTCCCCCATATACTTAACGACCCTCGTGAGCCGATGGACTGTTTCTGCATACCCTTCCATCTCAGTATTGGGGTCGCCGTGTGAATCCTGCAAACAAATGAGACCCATATTGAGCTGAACCAATTTGCGAAGTAGTGTTTGTTCGTGGGTTTTGTGGCAGTAAAAACTTGCAATTTGAGCTGACAGCAACATCACGTCGTAGACGTCCTTGGCGTAGACTAATTGTTTTGAGATCGAATATGTGAAGGGTAAATCAGCCACTTCTGCTTCAACTTTTGAAAGATGGAGCTTCAAATCTATGGATTTAGCCTCAAAGCTCTCATAATCAAAGCTTGTGTCACGGACAAAATACTTCAATTCTTCGATGAAACATTCCATTTTTTCTCTCACCCAGGCGGCCTGAGGAGTCAATTCCTCTTCTTCTGGCATGTATATGCGTCGTGTGAGCCTGCTTAATTTACTTCTCACTGCATCAGAGCTAGCGTTTTCATGAATATTGAATTTGGAAGCGTAGCCGCTTTTTAAAGCGGATGCTGTACTCTGTAAAACCATTAAGACAAACAATGATATGTATGAAGCTTTCATTTTACCGATATTGATCAACGAGTTGTGGTTTTCGGTGACCAGAATTAATATGAACAAAACCAGAATAATTGGCTGAATACCGGAAGCGGATTGTGAGAGATAAAATAAGTTACGGGATAAGAAAGACATTTGAATATCATTCTTAGTTGCATGCAGATATTACAAAACGTTTCAGTCACGTGAAACAAAGCGCCTGGAATGTCCAGTGAAATCATGAATAAGAAAGAACTATTTGCGTTTGAACTTGAGAGCGGAGTGGTTATCCCGTATTGGCTAATGCGAATCGACATACGCGGTGTGAATAAAAGCGGCCTACTGCATGATTTGTGGTTTGATGGACTCCAAAACTTGTGCAGTCATAACAATAACAAGAAACGGTGTGGTTCAATAGAACAAGCAAAGTCTGGCCGAGGCTGGGACTAAATTTATTTGGAATCAAGAATTTTGTCTCAAACTTAAAAGTTATTTCACTATCTGCAAGCTTTTCCCCTTGCGGTTCGAATAAATGTGAAATATACGAATTCTAGAATCATGGCACGTGGGCGCATTCCAGTCAAGCACTGAGTTGTTCCATCAGAGTTTTATGTTTGAGATCCACGCCTAGTTACTGTGGTTCACAATAAAATTCTGTAGCAAGAAAAAAAATAAAAAAAGATTCAGATGAAACTCTTGATCTCTTTTGTCATCGACCATCGAGCAAGTTCTATTTCAGTGGTAGAGCCTTATTTCTCGAAGTCACCAAATAATGACAGAAGTCAGTATAGAGTACAATGAAAGTGCGAAGAAACAACTTAGAAGCTCATGCTTTCAAAGTGAATCAGAAAAATACCACTTTTTCTTGTTAATTTCACAAATTCCGCACAAA